AGAGCAGGCAGATTTACACTATAACATGCAGCGTTCTATAGATGGACACATAAAGAAATGAAAAATTACATGTATGTGCTAACTTTCTAAACACTTTGTTACATTTATGATAAAGTAGATAAAACACATTTATGTCGGCCTTGGCTCATTAGTTCTTGTCTTTAAATTAACTTTGTATGTGTTTCAGGTACTGCACTCTCAAAGACTGAATGAACCAGCATTACAGCCATGGGTCACTGTGAGCATCACAGGGAAGGTTGAAGCCGCCCACTGCACCTGTATGGCCGGAGTCGCAGACCTGCAGCCATATCACTGCTCTTCTGTGTAATGTAGAAGCAACAGTGTTGATCCGTGGCACAAGGACTGTTACAGATGAACCTGCATACTGGGTTTTGCTGGGTAACATGACCAAGATACAGCCAGAGGTTGGCCATAAGATAGACTTCTCCTCTTCAGCTGCCCAAAAAAAGGCTCTTGATCAAAACATAAACAGACCATCCGTAGTGACAGGTAAAAGGAGCCGTCCTCAAAAAAGAAAAATCCAACCTGCTACTTTGGAGGAGTTGTCACTGCTATTGGATACTTAGCAGGAACACAGTAAAGCTGTGGGTTGTGGGAATGACCCATAATGTTTTATCTAGGGGTCTAGATTTATGCCTGTTGTGCACTGCCATGTAAATAATTTGCATTTACTGAATATGTACTGACTGAGTCCCACTGTTCAAAAGTTGAATAAAGAAACAAACTAATTTTTGCCTCTTTTTTTTTTTTTTATTAAAACCACTTTATAGAACATCACATCAGTTACAGTGTAGAATCCATGTCATTTATAGTTTATAAAAGACAAAATGTTTACACAAAATCATGACAGTGTTTACATGATATCACCCACTACTAACATTACTTTATTTACTGTATCTTTTGAAAAAATACAGCAATTTTAACAGCACAAGACTTAAGAATATTTAACAGGAGCAGGTTTCATTTTTCCCTGGTTTTATTATCACACTGTTCACCAAACCTTCACCATCTTATCCAGAAGGGTCACCTCTTCACCCTCACATGGAAGAAGTAATCTGATTGGCATGGTGGTTTGTTTGAAGTAGGTCCCTTGTGTAGCGCTGGAACCCAGTCATGATGTTTCATCCATTTCATAAGGTTGGTTTGCTGCAATAACTCCAAATAATTAGCAACTCTATAAATAGAAGGTAGTTCTGCAAAATCACTCAGTAGGATGTTTGTTCTAATTTGCTATGACCTCAGAGCACATAGAAAATAAAACTAATCGGCTATAAAGAGTGATATGAACATATTTAGAACTTACCGGAATGAAAATGTCTGGAGCACCAACAGATATTTGGAGATGGAAGAGAACTGGATATCAGCTCGTCTCACAGCTGCTACCCAGGCTAGACGCCTTCGTTTGCTAACATCGATACAAGAGCTGCCTCATGTTGCTTCCAGGTTGGGAAAGAATGAAAAGATAAACCATTTTCAACCTTATTCTCTTGCCGGTCGTGCGATCGAACATTGCAGCCGACCACACAGCAAATATGAACCATGGCTGTTGTGTGTGCCTTCGCTCCCTTTTCACTTGTGCTAGACCCCCAAAATGGCGGATCGGGCCAAAATCCTTTCCACGCCCACCCCCGTGACATCACGCTCCAAAGCCCTATTTTGTGATGTAAACTTCAACCATCTGGGCAATCAGTCAAAATGAACCCTATATGCAAACGTTCTTTGATGTTTTCGGAGATGTTGTTCCCCATGTTTGTTCCCACTAGTCTAACAGCCCGCTTTATGGTTGGAGCAGACAACACCCAGGTCCCTGCACACAAACCCTTGCTGACCCTCACCTCTTGAAGACTAAACAGGGATTACAAGGAACTCAGAAAAATAGAAAGACTGCTAATGAACCTTAAATCGTGATCATAATGCATAACAATCACGAAAACAAAGAAACTCAAAATGCTGCGACCAAGACAAAGAACAATGACAAAGTGTGAGACATATTGAGAGATGTTCTGCTTGTTCCTAAATTAAAATCAGAATAAGAATAACCTTGTGTTACCCCCAAGTCAAAAACATACAGAAAAGTTATAATGTGTTATATACATAATTGTACCCGTCATTCTTCGTCTCTTCTTTTTGCTCAAAGAGCAGGTTCTGAGAACTCACGACTGCAGTGCACTTCCCAAGATTTATGTTCTCATAAAAGGTGATACACGTTATTTTTAAGCCTACTTATATTTTATCTGTGACACATTTTCAAGTTTCTTTTGTGTAGTGAGGCAACAGGATTCTTCATTGTGATAGGATCGTTTGGATCATTATTTCTTGTGAGGTGGTTCCAAAATGCCCATTTTATTGTTTATGCGCTATGACTAAAATTTATTTCTTTGAATTTGACAAAAGGAGCTCAACAAATGACTGTCATGCTTTTGTCGCCTACTAATTAAGCATTTGTCAGTCTCATCCCCTGACAATCCTAAAATGCAATGCACTACTAAAATCTTCATTTTACCTGGAACACAGTTGATACTTGAGTAGATACTATTCTACCTTACAAACATAAAAAGTGTTCTTCAAAGGTAATTGATCCAGGTAAAAATTATATCATATATTTAAATAAAAAAAAAATCTATTTCTATAAACATTAGTGTGTATATATACAAAAAGAAAACAAAGTTCAGCAATTTCCTAGGAACAGTGTTAGCTTAGAGATTACATTGTCCCAGATGTTTAAAACTAACCTAAGTGACTGTAATGAGTGTGACATCACAGCTGTATTGACAGTCTTTGGGTAATGACAGCATATCCAGACAAAGCCACCCAGGGTTGTTTGGTAAATGTGATGCAGCAGAGGAAAGATTACTTAATATGACTAGTTCAAATTAAGTTGTGACATGTGCGGTACGGTAAATGGTATTAATACCACTGTCAATACCAGTACAACTGTTACAACTACTACTGTACTACCTCTGGTCTTTAAATTCTTGTGTGAGTGGAAAAATGTAACTATTTTCTTTCTTTCTTTTTTAGCTTACCAGACAAATGCTTGGATGCCCATCTATATCAAGTCCTGACATCAGTGAGGAAGAATATGCTCCTCAAACTGCTGAAGAAAGTGACAGTTCTGCAGAAAGTATCATACGACACAAAAGTAAGAAGAAAAAAAGCACGGAAAACTACTTCAGGTAACTCTCAGGAAGATGTCCGACAACTGAAGAGAAGGTGTACCCTAACTCAATGCAATTCCTCAAATTCAAATGCTAAAGAATCCTCTTCACTTGATGCAGAAGACACAAACACATCTGCTTCATTTGATGACACCAGAGAGTCTTCTTCACCTGATTGTTCTGATGTGACGGTTATGACACTAAGGAAGACTGTACAACAAAAAGTTCTACTGTAAGTTTTGCTGTAAATCTTTCAGCAAGATGGCACACCATTTGCAATCAAAACACAAAGATAAACCAGAAGTGGCAAAAGCAATGGCTTTCCCAGTAGGGTCTAAAGAGCGGAAAATACAGTGGAGTTTATTAAGAAATCAAGGGAACCGTGCCCACAATAATGAGGTGATTAAAAAAGGACAAGGAATGGTGATACCTCGTCAACAATCCAGTGTACCTGTGAAAGCCAGTGATTACTTGCACTGTATTAATTGTCAGGGTTACTTCAAGAGAAGGTCACTATGGAGGCACATGCAGAGATGTCATCTCAGCAGGAAGGTCAAAGGTTTAAGGCCAGGAACATCTAGAGTCCAGGCTACATGTAAATATGCAGAGCCAGTCCCAGACAGTGTCAATGCACAATTTTGGAAATTGGTACAAGTCATGCATGATGATGAGATGACAAATGTTGTCCGCAAAGAGAGTTGCATACTGAAATTTGGAGAGCATCTTTTCAATAAGCATGGACATGATGTCACTAAACATGATTATATCAGACAGAAGATGCGTGAGACAGGGCGACTGGTGCTCCAAGGACAGATGGCAAGTTGAAAATGGTGTCTGATTTCTTTGTACCAGGTAATTTCCCTCATGTTATTGCAGCAGTGAAAAATGTTGCTGGCTTGAATGAGGAAACAAACACATACAAAACACCATCTTTGGCACTGAAGTTAGGCCACAATCTCAAGAAAATAGCAGATGTTCTTGAATGTGAAGCAATGATTGCTGGTGATGAGAATACTATTCGCAATGTAAAGGTGTTCGAGCAAATCTGTGACACTAAATGGAGTGAGTGCATATCTTCAAAGGCTCTCAGAAATGAGGCAAAATGGAATACTCCACAACTTCTTCCCTTTATTGAAGATGTGAAGAAGATGCACCAGTATCTCAACATACGGCGGACGGAGTGTCATACAAAGCTCAAAGAAGAACCAAATAAGAAGCACTGGGCAGAACTTGCAAAAATCACATTGTGTGAAGTGATTATCTTCAACCGTAGAAGAGAAGGAGAGGTTTCCAAAATGATTCTTAATGCGTTCACATTGAGAGACACTTCATTGACTGATCCAGATGTTGGCTTTAACTGACCTGGAAAATAAGCTTTTTAGGCACTTCCAACGAATAGAGATAAAAGGCAAAAGTCCTCATACTCCTCACACCTGATGTGATGACATCAATGGATTTGCTCGTTAACACTCGCTGAAATTGTGAAGTATTGGATGAAAATCCTTTCATGTTTGTGAGACCGAAAGCACTTACTCACATCAGAGGGTCAGATGTTGTTCGACAGTGTAAACGACCACGGCAGACCCAGTGGCATTTTGGTAGTTTTTTTATTAATCCCTCACGGTTGCTGCACATTCGCACTCAGAGCTGCAGCTCTCCCGCTGCCAGCTCAACATAACAACAACAACAACAACAACAACCACCACCACCACAGGACCCAGTACAATATTTAAGTCGGCGGGGCGTGATTGCGGATGCCGTACAGGTGCGCCCGCCTCCTCTGCACGGCACC